ATTTTTTTTGTGACTAAAAGCTAGAATTTGTAGATGAAAAAAAAATGTGCTTCTGGATAATACAACTTACTTTCTGTGGCCATGTAGTAATGGGTCAGAAGATCCTCTTCTTTCTGTCCTGCACTGAGCCACGTGACTTGATATACCATTAGAATGAGGTAGCTTATACTGAGAAATGGGAAATTTTGGGGGAGATCCTGGTATAGTGGAATGTGTGAGACTAGTCAGTGGTGAATGAGTTTGAAACTCCATTGTTTCATTATGAGATAAAGGGGTTTTGGATGGCAATAAGCTGAAGCAGTCAGTTTCTGTTATAATGAATAAAAAATAGACACATGCAGTTATCAATCTCTTTACATGGTTTTGCATAATAGCATTGAACTCTTCTTAATCTAGACATTTCTCTTACATTTATTTGTCTAGTAATACTGATGACAAAAAATTTGATACTGTTTGATAAAAAGTAAGATTATCAGCTATACCAATATATTCTAGAATGGACCCCAGGCTTTTAAACACTTTTTTTTCAGTATTGTTTATGCACCAAATTACTCGTGGGTCCATAACTTTCTAGATTACTCCTTAATAACATAAAAGTAAAAATATAATTATAGAAAAATACCATTAATTTTATTCTTTGATAGATTGTTCAGGCAGAGTATTCATGGTGAAATTTAGTTGAATGGATGGCAACTGTAGAAACACAAGTATAGGGGACGATAACATTTCAAAGGTCTTCCACTCTTCGTCTTCTGAAGGCAAACGGCGAAAGACTTTTGAAACGTTGTCCTCTGTACTTGTGTTTCCACAACAAACAGTTGTCGTCCATTCAACTAAATTTCACCATTAATATTGCAGTTAATTCCATTAATTACTGTTGAGGTCCTCTACATCAAGTGTCATAACAAGGCAAAAACAAGTCAGTAATTTGAGTGTTAACTTGCCAACAATTAAGTATAGAGCATTTATGTAGAAAGAGAACTTAAATTGACTTAATCTATTAAGTTCCTACAAAAACTGTTTTTAACTTGAATGTTTAACAAACAAAAAAACAACAAAACAAAAACAAAAAACAGTGCTCCAATAACACAGTATTTAAGGTGCTTAAAATCAATTTATTTGGTTATTTAATTTTTCAGTATTTATAAAATATTAATAATTTTGGATCGCTCTTATGTTAGTTTTATATTTTAATTTTTGTCATGCTAGAGGTAGTTGAATTCCAATGGTCATTTTAGGTGCAGGAAAGTGTTCACACACACACATTTCCATATACAACATTTTCACAGTACATTTTTCTATGTAAAAATATAAACAACTTGCTTTTCAATTTTGTATATCAGAAGATTATTGACAATAACTTTTATCAAATTTATTACACTATCAGATCCAGATATTTATGTTATTATTGTTCAACAGGTTACTAAAGAGCAGAATGAACATGAAAAGTTGTAGTATGACAACTGTAGTGTTAACATAAGCTCCACATAGTGTATACTACCAACCTCAGGCACAAGACTTAAATACAATTCTTAAAAATCTTACATACTTTATCACGATGAAAATCTCAGTAATCGAATCATTTTTTGGAAAATGTAACTTAATAACAAAGCAAGGTATGAATTTGATAATATGAAGTATTTATTATCATCATTATAATATTAAACATTTATTTACGAATTAATTAAACTAAAATAGATATAAAACAAATGAAGAATGTATAACACTTACAGACAGAAGAAGAGTTTTTATGTATAATATATTCCCTTGATTTAAATCTATTTTAATATAACTAATTCATTTGTGTTATATACTTTTCATTTGCTCTCGTTATGCTTTTTATATTCAAATATTTTACTTCTTATGTACTATAAATTATATTATATTTCTATTGTAATTACAATTGTCTTTGTTTTGTACCTCTAGATTACTGAAGGTGGAATTTTGAAGATTCCAAAAGGTTTAATAAATATTTGTTTTGCTTTATCATTAAAGCATATCTTGTAAACTTGATGACTTTATAAGTTACATGTTCTCTCACAGATGATTTTAAATGAATTTATAAACATTTTTACCAGAAGAAGAGAAGGAAATTAGTAAAAAAAAGGATTAGGATGTTTTTGAAACAATAAAAACAAAATTTTTTGAATGAATTAATGATGTTCATTAATGCCCACGTGTTCCAACTTGCAGAACTGTAATTGCTTCAATGTTTTATTTATTCAGAGGTACAACTTACTATATAGACTGAGTCAATGAACAACACTGTAAGGTGAAATTTCCCCACATCAAAAATGTTTTTTCTAAAACTATAGGTAATTAAAAAAGGATTCTTGGTTAGAACAGTTAAAACTTCTACACAACTAACCATTTTGATGATAACCAGAACCACTAGAATTACTTAGAGCATCGTCTTTGACACCAAGAAAGCTAATGTGAGATGACTCCCTTTCAGGTCCTTCCAGGAAGTCACTTTCACTACTGCTCGTACAGGAGTCATCCAGAGAATACAATGGATTTTTGAAAGCCAAAGGAAGAGGTAAATTACACTGGCCATCAGAGGAAACGGTTATTCGTGTCTGAGAAAGATCAAGGGAATAAGTTGACTGACTATTTCCTACAGACTGGTAATTTGATAAACTCAATGATGAAATCTAGAGGAAAACAATTTACATTTTTGAAACCATGTTTTCCTGGTATCATGAAGACATATTAACTAAATTTAAAACACAACAAAGTCAGCTTACGCACCTTCAGTGCAAAGTGTCTGAATCTAATTTTTAAAAAATCTACTTTCAATAAAAAATGTGACTTTTCCTGTGAGAATCAACAAACACCACTCCAGTGCATCAAACAACTATAACACTCTTCTTCAATTTTATTTTTTTATTAGATGACTGTTCTTATCCATAAATGAAAGACTAATATAAACTAAGAAATAAAATCAGAAATATCTTGAAATCAAACTATCCCCAAATTTCAGTGTGTGTGTGTGACATTAAAATATGTATTGAGAACTCAAGATAAAAGACAAAAGCAACAATTTCAGTACTCTTAGGTTATTTATCAATACATTTGTTCTTGTTGTGGACAAGATAATGTGGGTTCAGCCATGCAGTACTTGGAACAGTGTACATATAAAAAACATCTCAAACTTATCATTCATAATTCTTCAAACATTTACAGATATCTGCATCAAGAATGTGATGATGTGGCTGATGAAAGGAATTTCGCCATAATATGCAGCTCCAACAATGCACAGGATGTACATATATATACAGAATAAACTTTGGCAATCAAGAAACTTAAACCTGTATTGAACTCAAAAGCATCTACTAAAGAAATTCTTCCGCAAATATAATTTTACTTTTATGTATGTTATTTTACCAAGTATGGAATAAAAAAAGAATCACATACCTTATAAACAGAGGACTGGCCATCAGGTTTCGTGCGATAATAACTCTCATATGTTGCCTTATCAAAATCACCGTTAAAAATGTTTTTGGCCAAAACTACTTGTTTTGGTCTATCCAGTGTTTCTAAAAGACCACACAACTGTGGGTTTCTTCTACAAGACACTACAGGGTCCAAGTTTCTATATGTTTCTTCTTTCACCTTGTGCTCACTAATTGGCGTTGTATACAAAGAATTTGTTAAACTATACTTCGACACATCTCCATTCTGGAGTAAAAAAGAATTGGAATGCTTATCATTCAAGTAACTGGCATGCATGGGAAGGTTTTCATGATCCTCTTCGCCAATATAATTTCTGTCATTTAGCAGTGGCTCAATTTTTATATAATCATCTGATACATTCCCATCTTCAGGCAGTATTGTATTACCTCTGCATGTATAATTCCTATTACAAAAAATAAAACAAACTGAAATTCACCTGTAATCCTTTACTATCTGCGTCCAATTTATTCTTTGCTTAACAATTCTGAACTAAAGACGACCTCAATGTTTGGTGTTACTTGTTTTCTCTTTATTTTACATTCTGCACTACTTCAATTTACAATAATGGGTTGCATATCATAATGTACATTTTAATATTAATATATGCCTTAACAGGTTTTGTTTGTTTGAAGTTAAGCACAAAGCTACACAATGGGCTATCTGTGCTCTGCCCACCAAGGGTATCGAAACCCGGTTTCTACCGTTGTAAGTCTGCAGATATATCGCTGTGCCACTGGTAGGCACCTTAACAGGTACTAGTACATTTGTCTGTTCCTTTAGCACACTTCGTGCACCCTGTCACTATTTTATTTACAAAATGTCACTTATTTTAGTGTAAGTAAGTAAGTAAAGCAAATTTACAATAAACAACTTGTTTCACAAAAAACTCAGTAAGTTACAATTTTTGATCATATAAGTGTATTTTAAAATAAGAACGATAAAAATTCGTTAAAAACATGAACAGAACTGGTCACCTGGCACTTACTGCACAGTATGTATTTGTAAGCTTCCCAAACAAGTAAGCCACTTTGCTAGAGTTACCCAATATTTGTTTATCAATATTACATGTTTTTCTGTCTTTTTAGACCAAAACTAATAAAAACATAATCTATTTTTAATTTGATACAGCTAGGACTGTTTCAAGTTAAACTGTGGACAGTTTTCAAATAACAAAACAGTTTAGAAGTGTCTAACAATATAAATATATAAAAAATAAGTGAATGAAACTGTGAAGATTGAAGTGTAAATAAACATTTTGACATATTGTTACAACTGTTTTCATTATATGAATATTGAAATGACCAAATTAAATGGTGAGATTAATGTATTTATTCTTTTAATTTACTTTTTTCTATATTTTTTCTGTTCTTTAGACCAAAAATAAAACCACAATCTTTTTTTTTGTTGATACAAGCTAGAACTGACTCAAGTTAAACTGGTTATAATATATTTTTTAAAAGCAAACATAAAAAAACTACATAATTTTAAGTGAATAATCAATTGGACATTCTAGAAAATGGCAGATCTCCTTGGCAATAAATAATACAGTTTACTTTATAACAAATTTTATCTCATCTAATTGGTTTATGTTATTAATTATATTATTACTTTAATCTATCTTCTTAATCTCTATTTGTAAGTTTTTTTTAAACAAAACTTGAGTAGCTTAGATCACAATTTATGTTGTGATAACTACTACTTCTGATAATTCTAATAAGACCTCGGCACATTCTGCTTTGAGTTCATTGTTGATCTGAGAAGATATTCCTAATATATATACTTAATCACAATATGTACAATATGCAAAAAGTTTTACTTAAAAAATTTACCTCCAATGATTAGTTGGAATCTGAACCTGAAAATAATTTCCAACAGTATCAAGTAAATATTTTATTCAGTACTAAGATATGAGGC